CTATTGTTATTGAAATGAATTGTGTATAACAAATATCATTGACTGTTTCACTGATCTTAATCTCTTATAATAAAGTCAATGACTTTCTTTCGTCTCCTTGTTTTCGAGTCCCCATGCATTTCCAAAGAAAATTGATTGGCTTTTTCATGTAATAAATGAAGAAACTATTGGTAAAATTCTCAAATATTCGATGAAATTTCATAGACGAGGACAAAATGATGTTTGGTGTTCATTCTCAGCAAGAAATGTCGTTTTTTGCTACCTCGATTACACTGTCATTGATCATTGATCAACAATTGTTCAAGGCAATAATGCATAGTTTTTCTTGTTTCGATCGAAGAATATGATAGGTGAGGAACGAAGATAATTCTTTTCTCTTGACCATCATCCTGATTAACATATCTTATTCGTTCGTTCCTGTGCTCGAGCAAAAATCGAAAAGAAATACTTAAATCTCTTTTTCTATTGTTCATGTTGTCATCTGCATTTTTTATTTCCGAAAGGTATCTCTGAGAAACACATATTTCTAGTCAGATTGGATAAATATTATCAAGGCATAAAAACGAATTATTCAACAACAACAGAAGTATCGATCAATCGACAGAACTCGTTCGATCAATAAGATGAAAGTAATTCATTCAAACGAACAAATCATTTTCTTCGGATTTTCTTTCTGAAAATCATCAGTTAAGTTTAATGAAAAATATTTTCTAATCACAGAGAAACAACAACAACGCCGAAAGAAGGAAGATCCGTTAATGTTTTTTCAGTCAGTTAGAAAAGCAAAACAATCGATCGATCTTGATAGAACTTTTTATTTAAAGATCGCTGTCTCTTCATTTAACTATGATCAATTCCAATAATGTATATTATTCACTGTCATAAATCCTTGAACAAATAACAAATTTCATTAATCATTCAAATCAAGCAAATCTTCTCTTATTCTCAACCTTGATTCCCGCTAACCATTGAATAAAAGACAAATATGAAAATATCTGAACTTTTTCAATAGTCAATGCAAAGAATTCGGCACGGTTACGACTTGACTGGACTTTCACTCCATTCGATTTTCATATTCCTTAAAACAACGAATCCATTTCAAGATAATCACTCTTTCTATAATGGTCAATCAATTACAGTGCAATGTCTATGAAGTCGACCATCTTTTTTGTCAGCTCTCTTTTTTATTCCACTCTTTCATTTCATTTCAGACAACACCTTAACAATGACTATGAATAAACCTATCAAAATAATCGACTTTTCGACGTGAATTTGGCTAATGATAGACAGAAATCGAGAGACAAACTATTGAAAATGAGTCGGAAAAATTCAAGCAAATATCAAATGAGAGAAAGGACTTCTCGATTACTTTCATGTGAACATGGAAAGTGATCGATATTAAATATGTGATATAAAGCACCAACCGTCCACGATTTGATCAGAATAAACTGATTGGGAATGTTAAAAATCTGAAAGTTTGATCGAGATAAAAATGAAAGGAGATGATTTATCTTGAAAAACAACAATAGATCAGCAGATCAAAAGATCAATGCAAAGAGAAAAACAAATAAAAAAATGAAGAAGAGACGATACGTTAAGACAAGGATATTTCAGCTAGTGAGAAACAAATACCGCTAACGATTGTCTTCATTCTTCAATAGGATAACAAATCATTCTTCAGCATGTTCAATTGATGGTGCTTTATCTGAGATTGTTATTGATTCATTGATGATTTTATCAACCAAGATCGAACTTTCAAGAATATTCTTTGTTATCGAAGAGACTGGTGAAAGTTGCTTGTCACCATGTTCGTCGATGATTGGAATCGGCGAATTTTTTCTCGTATTGGCTTTTTTACGAGGTGACAACGAACGGCTACGGGTTTTCATTGGTCTAGAATTAAATAAAGAACAGAATCGATAAGATTCTATTTTGACTGTTTCTTTTGAAAGACTTAGAGAATAATTACTGAAGATTGTTTCAAGTTTGTTTAATATCAACTCTCAACATAGAGAGAACTATTTCTCCAGAGCATTCTGTTTTTCACACATGAAAGAGATTGTTTTTTGAAACATGAAATAAGAAATCATTTGGAAATCTTCTTATTCTTTGTCTCTTTATATGTAAAGTTACAACACATTCTTAGTTACTTAGGTTACAAAAGGTAAAATGAAAGTTCATCTTTCGCGCTTTCACATCTTTAAATATCTAAGCAGAATCGAAATCAATATACCCACTGAAGAATCTTGCACATAGTTTATCACCATACATTCGAAGATTGTTTTCCGTATGTTTGACAATGCCATCTGGAAAAATGATAAAAAGAAACCAACAAATCTTTGGATTTCTAGGAAAAGTATATTGCACAGAGCAGAAATAGGTTGAATTTAAACTCGAGAAAACCTAGAGTAGCTTAAATCTGGCTTCTAACTATTGAAGAATGAAGTTGTGATTAAGTTCAAACTATTTTTCCTCCAATTTGCCCCTCGTTCTCGATCTGATCATCAACTACAAACATGAAATTTTCTCTTACCTTTAACATTCAAATCCTTGATTATACCACTCAGACAATGAATTGTTTGATTCAATGACGTTTTTCTTCATGTATAAAATTCAAAAAATAGACATGAATTGAAGAGAAATGGCAAGAGAAAATCTATACTAACAATTTCTCGTTGACGACATACAATTCTTCATTATTCAATGTATAACCCAATTTACCTAATTCAGCGTAACTCGATCGAATCACTAGGGAAAAAGGGAGTGAAAATGAGAGTAAGAAAATTTCATGTTTTACTAGGAAGTTTCTCGATATTTCCATTCCAATTCGATAATCGTAATGTATGTGCACGAATCTTCATCGCAATAATCGTTGCAGCATTGCATTGTTGCGAAGATGATTCTTGATTGGATTCCATAGGTGAACTAGAAAATTGATCGAGAATTTCTAAAACTTCACCCAGAACCTTTGAATGGAGAAAACAAACGACGAAGATGATCAATTGATTCGGAATTTGGCACATACTTTAAAAACATTCTTCTCGTAATCTGGTGAATCTTTGCTAAAGGTTTCCACAAAAAACAATTTAACAGCTGCATCACCCACATTTCCTGTACTGCTCATATTGAAAATGAATTTATTGCAATCCTAGATACTAAATTTGATTTGAATATGGTACTACACTCTAAAAAAAATCAAAATACATGAAGTGTATAAATAAGACGATTCGTTCGTTTAGAGAAGATACTTAGCGCTGTTTCTGATTGGTCGATATATGTCTCATTTAGACACTTCAAGTGTCAACGGATAACCGATTTTAGACACTGACATGTCTTAATCTCTCTTGATTGAAACATTTACGCCAATGTAAACAAGCGTCTAGCATCTGTCTTTTTTAGACACTTCAGCTAATCTATGAGCTACTAATTCTAGGAATAAATATACTTCTATATGAACAATATGCGTTAGGAAAAATATTTTTTATTTTCATAAATTTCACTCCTTTTCGAATCTAACTCAATATTTGAAGAAAAATTCAAAAGTTTTTTTTTATTTATTTATTTTCAAAATCTTAATTTAAGTTTGAAAAGGAGTGAGATTTATGAGAATAAAAAAACAATTTTATTGAAAATATTTTCCCCAACACTTGCTGTTCATATAGAAGTGTATTTATTTCCAGAATTAGTAGCTCATAGATCAGCTGAAGAGTCTGAAAAAACTGACGCTAGACAAGGTCGCAAATATAAATTGAAAAATTACATTTGGAAAAAGAGACTTTTTTAAAAATTGATGTTAAAAATCGGACGAGTTTAAAGCCTAACTCGCTTGTTCTTGTATGTTGAGATAAAGTTCTTTCCTCAACTCAATTCAAACTAAATTCACATGATACTTTGAAATGATGTTGAAAATTGTCTTCTTCAAATGTGCCACTACCAAGATAATACCGACAATTAAAATTTATCCAGAATAAAAACAAATATTATTTAGAAAAACAAAATTAAATGTTACGTACAAAAAAATAATAAATATTGTCTAGAAAGAAAATCATCTAGAAAAAAGGATAAATGTTATCTAGAAAACAATCGTTTAGAAAAAAATTAATATTTTGTAGAAAAAATACATACATATTATCTAGAAAAAAAAATATGATTTAGAAAAATAAACAAATGGTTACATCTAGAAAAAGATATTATCTAGAAAGAAAATAAATTAGAGAATACAATATCAGAATCGAATGGATATTACATGGTTCACTTTCACAAAAATATATATACAAAAAAACTATTTTAGAAATTGTTCAAGTATAGATTAATAAAGACAAGAAAAAACAGATAGCCGAAAGTACAAAAAATATCTGTGCATGAGAATTATACTATCTTATCGTTAATTCTTTTTGACATTTTTCGAACAGAATTTGAAGTAATTTATGACTAGGCAAATGATCTAGTATTATGTATGAAATGAGAAGCAGTGCTACTATCTGATGAAGACCACCAGCTCCAATAGACTCAGCATTTTATAGGGCAGATTTCTCATGAACATAAAAGCTTTATCAAATTCTTTAGTTGATGATGGCATTATCAAAATTCCAATTATTGGATGAGGATCAGGTAAACCATACTGAATAAACAAAAGAAAATTTAATTAAAAAAATAAAAATGCTTTACCTTAAAGAAAATAGTTTGTTCGCGAAGATCTTCCCATAAACTTTTTATTGCCATAAAATCAACTTCGCTCATCTTTATGAAAAAAAAATGAATCAAAAGAAGATAACTGGCAAAACAGATATAACAAAAACAAGAATTATCTACAAATAAAATTAAGAAAATTAAGACACTTACATAAAACATACTTGATCACTTACAGCAAATATTTTATAATAAAATAAAACAACAGCATGTAGAGAGCAGCACGGAATATATAATTTATCTAAAAACAATAATAACTATAAAGTAATAGCTACAACTTACTTATTTATTTCTATTTAATTTTGTTGAATCAGAGTGAAAATTAACACCGAGAACAAAACAATAATTATCTACAAGAAAATAATATTAGTAAAGTAGAACACGATACAAGAAGAATAAGTTGTATGGAAATATGTTTAAAATAAAATACTGCTAAACGGATTTGATATACCCAAGCGAATGATATAAAAAGAAAGAAAGACGAAAATAAACAAACAGATGGTCAACATAGCTGACCAGTCATTCAGATACTATAACGAAAGAGAGGGCTAATAGTTTTTGTTCTAACTCGACACTTGCTCCACTAAAGAAAAAAATGTTAAGATGCATCACTGTCTATTGTACTCATGTGTCTAAAAGTAAGACGCATTTCGCGTCTTTACTAAACGTTAGACAGATGAATCGTCTTGTAAGACACAAGGCATTTTTTACAGTGTATTGTTACAGTAGAATCTTCATTACTGTCTCCCTATTTCTCATCAATGATGTTGATGTTCGAAGTTGAAATTGGTAAATAGATGGCGTCACATGACGATATTAATCGATCAAAATCAGACACAGTAAAAAAAAAGTCTTTTTTATTGTGGGATCGCTGATTCCGAATATCGTATTTATTTTGCTTTATCATTATGTCATGGCAATGAAAACTGCTAAAAATCTTCATATTTTACTGAAAAACCATCAAAAATCATAAAAAATTTGGAGGTGTAAGCCCGTTTTTGCAGCAATCCTAAATATTTTTTTCAAATATTTTTTTATCATTTTGTAGAGAATACAAAGTTGCACAACATATATAAAATTCAGTCTGGGCACTCTTGATCCTGAAGCACAGCACAAGGTACATTGTTTTATTTGGACTGATCAAAATGACCCCCTTTGGCTTTTATTGGCTTTATAAAACTTGAGTTACTAGACATTAGATTATATCAATATAGTTTATTTTGTTCAGCTTTCAATTCTCTATCTTCCTATGTATACCACGAAAAATGTCAATGATCTGCTGAAACGCAAGCTAGTACATCTTCTGTAGGGTATTTTTTCTTGTTTTTTCTCCAAAAAGATGTGATAGTGCTAAAAGTCGGTATTGGGTAACTTTTCATAGGAAGGGTATTAGATCCTAAAATTTTAGGGTTAGTAGTTTTAGACATTGATGTGTTGAATGAGCAAAAAAATTGAAAAAAAAATTTTTATCGAGTGCTTCAAATACTCAGTGCCTTCGTGGATGCTCTCTTAAATAAAAGAAGACTAGAGAACTCTACATCTCAAATTTACTATATACTTTTGAATTAAAATTATAAAATTTGTAACTACACTACATTGCACCAATCACTAATACAATCAAGTTCAATTTCGTTTAACAATTAAAATTTCCCCAATCTAGATTTAATTTTGCCTAAGTCTCAATTTTGTCCGAAACGTATACACGATACATCTATTTGTTTTTGTGTACTCAAAAAGTGAGTACACTCTAGAATCGGTCAGTGTGTCCGGCCGTTAACACGATAACTTTCGAAAGGAGAGTCCGATCGCGATGAAATTTTCTACACAGTTCAGTCTTAACAATATCTCGGTCGAGTTCGAAGATGAGAAGGATTGGCCGAGCCCTTCCTGAGTTATTGCAAAAATACTCATTTTTCCCTGCACCTTCCCTATGGAAAGATCGACCCATCCCCACTTTCGTAAAAGACTTTTCCTATCATAATCAACTAAAACCCCAACTATTATATACCATTCGATAGAGAATTTTACGAGCTACAAACTGGTATATAAAACATAAGGAAACAAGAAAGCCAACTCAGCTATTGCAAAGATAATTAATCGGAATTCGGTTCTGTTTTTGTCACGCTCTAATTGATCCACAAATAGAGCTCTATCTTTCGATCACAGAGATGATAGTTCGAGGTTTTCTGGGGTGGAGAACTCGAATCTGTGATTTATTCGCCTCGAAATCCCATTGGTTGAACAGTAACCAATAGAAATCAAGTTATAGGAAAAACGACTTTCTTAGGGTAAACCAAGGTGAAGAGTTCAAATCTTCTCTGTATTCATCCCCAAATCCTATTGGTTGAGCAGTAGCCAATAGAAATCAAGTGTTTATAGATAAGGTTTGCCAGAATAATTTTTATATCCCCATATTCTAGAACGACTCATCTGTCTCATTCACTTTTTGAAGTACACATAACTCTCGGATTTAAATCCGAAGTTTCCGCATTTATTTTATTATTGTAAAAAGAATTTTTTGTGTATTTCTTTTTCTCAAAATAGTGAACAACTTTGTTCGTTATGATTGATAAACAAAAAATTCTCCAGACTTTCTCATTTTTCAATTAACATATATCAGTCATCAATATAGAAGCTAATGGTCATCCTTAATTTGCTATAAAGATGCATTGTGAAGCTGTGTCACAGTACAGATACCTCGACTGTTAAATAGTTTATTATTCACAGTTGATAAACAAAAATGATGCTTGATAATTTTTTTCTTTTCTGCTCCTGACTCATGTTAGATCTCTGTTAGACTGTGAACATAAACCAATACAATAAGCGATGTTGTTCGCTAGTCAGAATTTTCTAAAATGCTTTTCGATCATTTTTCACGTCGATATTCTTTTTTTTTTTGACATTTTTCTTTTCTATATTTTTTGCTTCGACATTTTTTCCTTTCGATATTTCTTCTTTCGGCATTTTTACAGCCAACCTTATTTATTGCTGACCACTCAAAACACGTATCACATATAAAATATATTAGTTCAAGATACTTTCTTTATTCACATACATATAGGTGCTCTTTCTCTCCTTCATTGACTGACGAGGTCATTTCATTGCCATTCAAATGTTCATAGATAACAGAAAAAAATGCTAGTCCGATGCGTCTATTCATGAAACAAAGCTCGACGTGTTCACTTTTTCACTCTTATGTTTTTCAATGCACGAAGGCTATATATATATATTGATATAAGAATTGTTAATCGAAAGTAATACATTAATATCTGAGTGTATATCTTTAATACATCGACTCTTATTGACTTTTGTTATGGTTTATTATTAGATTTGGGAAATTTTTTCTTACTGTGTTGAAAGTAAGTTATCTATAGAGCTAAAAACTTTATCTATTGGTCATGTTAGATTAATATGAATAGAAACTAAGCTTGTCTTTCACTTTTATGTATTCTATCCTTGACTACTTTTAATAATATCAGTGCATTATTATTAAATGAAATATAACTCAAATCATACAACAAAAACAGATACGAGAAAAATCATTTCTGCTCATGATCGAATCCATTAACAATTAACATGGTCCACAAATATCTGACTCTTTCACGTAGAAATTGTATGGAAATGTGGGCAGTAATACAAATCATAGTCTATTCAAGAATTGTAATCACTTGAACACGTCATAGAAAAGTACTAAAACTTTAATTGCTTGATGTCTAAAAAAAGGATGAGCATTAGTTTCTATATTGATGATTGATATATGTTAATTGAAAAATGAGAAAGTTTAGAGAGATTATAAGTTATAATCATGTCATCTATAGTCTGACAAATATAATGTTGATATAAACGACAACTGAAAAAACAAACTCCTAGCATTTACTAAAATCAACAGTGCTTCAGATAATAAAATAAATTTTTTTCGGATTTGTTCCTGTAAAAAAAACGACTTCGATAGGGAAAACAGGAACACGTATGAAACGATGCCTTTGCTTGTTTCGTTATTTTAATTTTTTATCTTTATTATTTGTCTGTGGATAATATTATATTGAATGTTTGATTAGTAATATAGGACTTAAGAACAATAAAGGAAAATAACGAACTTTTAGAATAACAAATTAATAAATGACTTTTCAGTTAATGATTAGATTGTTTCAACTACCAATCGAAAGGAAAAAAACAATCATAAAATTCTTTTTCATATGTAAAAATCAAGCGATAATAACAATCAACGTTAAATCTTAACTATATCGAAAGTTTCTTAGGTTTGAGATTGATTTGCATTTCGTTTAATCTTTTATTCCTGAAAATAGTCATAAAGACAATGGTTTATTTAGAGCTGCCAAAAGTGGAAAAGAATCTAACCAATGAACAACTTCAATATTTACGTCAATGTAAGTATTCATGTTATTATATTCATTCTTAATAGAAAAATTACTCAAATTAGATTATATAATGAACAACATCCCCGAAATGATTGAAATTGAAAGAATAGCCAAACAATGGAATATTAATGATTTTGATTTTCATATGAATCTGTCGGTTAGTGTGCTTTTGTTCTGTCTAGTCGATATTGAAACTTGTTCATTTATAGGATTGGTTTTTTTGTCAACACGTAACTGAACAAGAACTTGAACAACGTCGACCTGAAGCAACAAGAGCTCCAGCTTAGCTTTGATATATCTCATTGCTTAATACTTATGCCTCTGATCTTTGTTTGATTATAAGTTGCAATTTTGTGACACTTCATTTAGTAATTTTTGATAAAACTGACAATGTTTATCTTTAATTTTCTTGTGTTTAAATCTCTGATAATATGTTTATTGATACAGAATAAAGTTTAAATTGTTTCTTAATTTTTTTGCATTAAATTGAAATTATCTGGTAACATACTTCATCTATGTTATAACTTTATATTGACTTTCTTTAATCGATATTACTCAATTAGTACACCATCATGATTATTTCATTATCTTTGAATATTTCCATTAGGTGACATAAAACATAGCTCGTCTCATAAAAAATTTCTACTGAATCGAGTTAATATATTTAGGTTTACCTACAATAACAACAATTTGTCCTTTCTTCTTTAACGTCTATCTTTTGACGAAATAAAGACGAACAAAAATGAATGCTCCTCAGTTAAACATCATGCTCAATCTCATTATTAGGAAATCTATATTTGATGAAATGTATAACTTTAATGAGTAGGATAAAAATACTTTTCATATTCTATTATTTTCATATACTCTTGAACAAATATATTTCGATTATAAAATGTTTAATTATTGATTTAAAAGTTTTCACAACAAAATATCTAATCAAGAGCATTAAAATGTATAAATAAGTAGCTTACAAGTCATGATCTATCAAGAATTCTTTTTATTGAGCAAAGAATAACAAAACATAACAATTTTTTTCTATAATATTTGAAAAAAAATAAATTCAACTTTTCTTAACGTATCATTTAAAAATTTATTCAAAAATATTTAATGCTTGTGACATCTTCATATTCGAAATAAAAGGGCGCTAAACATTTATATTAGAGAATTAAAATTAAATGGAGGATAACTTTGATCCAAAATTTCGTGTAGTAATGAGTGGATATACGTAACTAAAAATTAAAATATATAAACAACAAACCACACGTTGTTTCTCTACTTACTTTTGCACTGAAAAAGTTTCAATTGATTTTTAGTTATTACAGATTGAGAGTAAATATTTTATACGAAATTATCGTTTTTTTTGGTATGGCATTCGTCACTAACATATTGTTTGCGATAGATCATATTGATGAAACATTTTTGTTAATATGTTGAAATATTCGATACGTCAAAATGTTTTTAGTCTTGGACATTTTGCATATAAAAAATATACACCAGCTCCAATGCTTTGATCACCTGTAAATTTTATCATGTCAAATAAGTCTTGAAAAACCTCAATCTTCTATCAACTTTATTTTATCTGTCCGATAAATGATTAAAGACTGTCGCAGTATCTATACAAAAATCAAAATTTTTTTCTACATAAGATGTATTGATTTCAATCGTTCTTTCTCCAAAAAATTTGCTTTGGAGAGCAAAATTATTTTTCGTTTCAACTTAGAAGAAGAATGAATATTTTTCGAATCAGTTTTGATAGAAGGGTGCGGGTAGGGATGTGGGTGTGACTAAGGAGAAGGTTTACACCCACACCCCGGCCGGCACTAAATTTTTTTTGCGGAGCATTTTTTTAGCTTAAATGAAAGATCATATCGAGAAACATAAATCCAAAATATTACGATTTTCTGATATACTTCAGAAATATGCCAAAGATCATAAGCCTTCATTTTGTGGGAAAACCATGAAAAGTGAAAGAAAAAAGGGTTTTTTCAAATTCTGGTCATATTTTGAGCTTTCCTTTGGGTTTGTTCATCGCTGAGAGTCAGGGAATGTCTCAAAAGATGCAGAAAAGAGTTCTCTACAAAATAGGCTATGTCAATGGTGATTAGAAATAACTGTCAGTAATCGATAATACCTTCACACAGGGAGGGAATCTATGGTTTATGAGTGACATTTTGCTAGTAATTTACCTCTAACCTCATCGAACCATGGCGTCCCAAAAAAATCAATCCAGTTTCTGAAAGCCCTTGAAATTCTCCATCTTTTGAGACATTTCCCAACTTTCAGCGATGAACAAACCCAAAGGAAAGCTCAAAATATGACCAGAATTTGAAAAAACCCTTTTTTCTTTCACTTTTCATGGTTTTCTCACAAAATGAAGGATTATGATCTTTGGCATATTTCTGAAGTATATCAGAAAATCGTAATATTTTGGATTTATATGTTTCTCGATATGATCTTTTATTTAAGCTAAAACAATGCTCCCCAAAAAGAAATTTAGTGCCAGCCGCTTCTGTATAACACTGGTCGGTCTTCTAGTGAATTTTCTCTTAAATTTTTGTCCACAAAAATTACGAGATCTCGATAAACCAATATCAAAGCATTCGTATACTACTAAAGTATTTTCATTTTATAGTGTTTCCAGAGTGCAGAAAAATCTGATGATTTTTGATCAGGTCCTTTAACCTTTTTATTTATTTGCATCTGAAAATAAGAGCTGTTCAATGCTGGATTGATCGAATCGAATATTCGTATACCATTGAAGTTCATCTTATTGGTTTTAATTCCATCTACATCTTGTATCTTTGTCATATCTTGATCTTTTTCACTAAAGTTGAACAAATCATTATTAATTTCATTACCTTCTATTGTTTCATCATCATAATCAGATTCAGAATTTGATGATGAATCTGAATGAGCTATTGAATAATTATCTAAATTAATCTTTAGTCTAACACTGTCAAATATATTTTTACTTAAATCATGTAATTCAAAAGCAGTGTGTTTCTTTAATGCATTCAGTATATTCAAGTTACTAACTAACACTTTTGCATGATTAAATGCAGCTAAAATTTTCATTTCAAATTACCATAAGTATTTATCTTTGAAAAAAAATGGTGAAATTACGGTAATACTATGAATAAGTTCTACATCAGTAATGGGTTGGAATTGAATTGAGTCTAATTATGATGAAAAAAGAGAACTATGTTGAAAACTACCAACTTTGAAGCAAAAACTTTAGCTGTATTCTATTTCATTATTGAGTTTATACATATCAATAAACTATTATATACCATTATGAAAAAGAATTTGTTTTAATCGGCATCTAATAGATAGAGTGTTTTGCAAGGTACAAAAATCTGATGCCATTTCTAAGGCTTCTCCATCATTCATTCCCTCTTGAAGTCTCTTGAAGTTAGATGAAATCTTGTAAAGTCGCTTGAAGTTAGATGAAATCTTGTGAAGTCTCATGAAGTCAGATGAAATCTTATGAAATCTCATTAAGTCATATGAAGTCTCACGAAATCATATAAAGTCTCATGAAGTCAGATGAAATCTTGTGAAGTCCCATGAAGTCAGATGAAATCTGGGAAGTCTCATGAAGTCTCGTAAAGTCTTCTAAAGTCCTCTGAAGTCTCATGAAGTCTTAGAAGTCTCTTGAAATTTCATGAAGTCTTTCGAAGTCTTTTAAAAATTTGAAGTCCCTGTTGCTGAAGTCACTTGAAGTTTTTTGAAGTCTTGAAGTCTGCTGTTTGCCCCTCGTATATATATATATATGTGTATTGATCGTAATAGACTAGTTGTTGCCTTAGTTACGTGGTTGTCAAAAAGTCAACTAACCATTATAATCCATAGTGCTACATAAATATCAATAATAAATGATTTAATTCCAAATTATATTTATTGCATATTATTATATATAGAAACAGTAACAACAAAAGAAAAAATCAAAGATATCATATTTTATTGTACTTAATAAAAAAACATGCCACGAATTTCATATTCATATATATCTTATACATTGAACAAATAAAGTCTTTCTTCTATGCTGATCAAGTAAACATGTTGTTTATAACAATTGAATCTGAACCTAGAGAAAAAAATTAACAATCTATCTATAATGCAGTTCCTTGTAACATTCTCTATTCTTTATATTTCTCTGATGTGATAATTATTATCAGCTTTGAAGAGAAAATTTATGATTATACTCTTAATCGTATTAATAACAATCGATAAATATTGTTATTACTCATTTCATGACGTGAATGATTACGTCTTACTTCATTGGTTTTGTTTTTCTTTCGATCGTGATCATTTGATATGTTTTTTTGTTTTTGTGTCTCAATAACAAAAAAATATAGCAGTTTAATATGCGAAAAATCTGTATATAAGCAACAAATAGTGAAAAAAATCGTAGTATTTAATCGACGTATATTTTTTTATCTGAGTAGCAACATTTTCTTTCTTCAATATTGGATTACAACTTCATAATTATG